CAATAAAGAAATATATAAACCATAAGCATAAATAAACAAAGTATAATTCTATTAATTCAACTGTATTCTTACACAAAGAGGGAAATATTAGAGACATACCAAGAACTCCAACAAGACTATAGGACCGAAGCTCCTAAGCTTTATTCCATTTAGAAACTATAGAGAATACAAAGTGGAAGAGGGAATTGCTCCTTGAGGTGTGTTGTGGGATCCTCTATTTGTAGCCTCCTAATAACGGTAGTTAAGTCGGTTGTAGGTCGAAAAACGGGTATAACAGTCATCAAAAGTGAAGGAATCGCCACGTGGAAGCTCAGTGGCGCGGGCGCCAAGATTGGTTCGGCCACCGCCTTTGGTGAGGGAAATTTTATTCTTTTTGAAAAAACAAATGCTCTAGAATTCCAGTATCACTCAGAGAAAGATCATAACAACTCTATTTCACCAATTCATATCCAACAACAATCTAGATTTAGATCATGCTTTATGCAACCCACAAGTTTCATGTTGAAGGCAAAGATTTTTTTACCAACAAACTCAAAAACTATAGTGAAGACTAAGCTGTAAACTATTCCCTCCGTCCTAAATTATAAGGCCTATATTTTTTACACGATCTTCAGTAACATATTATGAACATTAATTTATTCCATGTTATATTCCCAACAAATATAAATTAGCATCACAAAAAAGTACTTTAAAACAAGAATCTAGTGATATAACGTGCATAATACTTAGCATATATATGGTTAGTATGATTATTAGTTAAAAGTTACCGAGTTTGATTTTCCTTAAAAAAAGAGGGTGCCCTATAAATTGGAACGAAGGGAATAAATACTAGATAGAAATAATAACAGAGCAAATCATTTCAAGTGGGAAATCTTAAAACATTCTTATCGCGTATATGATAGCTTTTTTGGTAATTTTTATGCTTTGCAACCTTTTGTCGTTTTTCTTTTTCTGATTCAATAAAAAATGAAAGATAAAAGTTACCTTAGTGGAGGAGAGAGCCCCCAAGCTAGCTTCTTGCTAGGGTGCATGATGGGGATCGAATCCATGCGATCTGAAGTAGACCGTCATGTCAGCCTGACTGCTGAATGGCGGCGTTGATGTCCGTCATCTGGTCACAGCCTCACTGGTATGCTGCTGCCATGAGTGGGTTTCCTGGACATGCTGGTTTAGCATGTTGTGCATCTCATTTGTCCGGAGATCCAGATCTCCCAGCTGCCGAGTAACATCCGCAAATCCTCGTCCAAAGTCACGAAAACTTCGATAGGAGAATGAGTAGTGTGCACTGGACTGCAGGGTGTTAACAACAAAAATTGGTAAGATATACGGAGATTGCAATAGATTCGATGCGGATTTGGATGAGATAATTCGGTTTCTAAAATTAGAGTTGCGCATCGGTTGAAAACAATATCGGCCAATTTTATATAGGAGTCGAGGAGAAGATCTGAAGATATTGCCAAACAAAATGAAGCTCGAAGGGGGTAATTTTATATATTAATTAGGACAAGAGTCACTTTTCCTCAATGTCTTTGGGAAATCTTTGTTAGAATCCGGGATCGATGGACTGACCTGATGTGTTTATTTTATAATCAGCTCGAGTGCTTTGGTAAATTGTGAAGATCAAACTTTAACCACCCGCCATTATGTGGTGTAATTAATGCAGGGTATTTTACTAATCGCCTATAATAGCCTGGCTCCATAGAACGAAACGCCCGGCCAGCTTGTTCCCACGAGGCACAGCTAGCTGGCTCTCCAGCGACGTGCGCTGCTGGTTCTCCAGCGAACGTCCTCAAGAAAAAAAAACAAATGTTAAGGTGACTTTTATTTGTTTAGGTTTAATGGCCGAGCTAACGGCTAAGAGTAAGTTTAATAATATAGCTAAATGTTAGCTTCAAAACATATATAGCTAATCTAGTTAAACCATTGATATAATAGTCATTACCTATGAAAATATACTACACCATTAATACCCGGTCACATATTTCATAGACACACAACCTCTTGAGTCCAGATTGCAGCTGGCTATAAATTTATAGTCTGTTTTCTTCTCTCTCTTCCCTTTTATTCCTGATATGTTATTATAGCTGGCTTATAGCCTGCTATTATACTTGCTCTAAGTATAAACTCAAATTCTAGAACTAATATGCTGATCCATGTAGAACTAATTAATAAATAATATCCTAGCTAATTTTTACATAAAACTAACACAGTACACTTCACATTTTCTTTTTCTCCATGTGTATTTATAGCTAAGCAGTGTTAAGGTGGTGTTTGAATCTCATGAAGATGAAGATTAAGTTAGCGCACGTAAAAAAACCTATTAGCATATGATTAATTAAGTTTTAATTATTTTAAACTTGACAAATTGATATATTTGATATTTTAAAACAACTATATAGAAAGCTTTCACACAGAACGTACCGTATAGTAATTTGAAAAGCGTGCTAACGAAAACCGAGGTAAAATCTATATCTTCATGAGAAAAGAACAAGGACTCTCATGTTAAAACTAATTATACATTACTCCAAAATATATACATTAAATATATAAGTTTCAGAAAAAATTGAAGACTATCTCATAGTCAATCTATTATACATCTTTAATATGTTTGAATTGTTGTGTTCCCCCGCAATTAAATTAACAGTTCATCACCCATATTGACCATATTTTAACTTTGTCTCATCACATTTGTTATGTCATCCAAATGAAAATTTATAAAAAGGAGCTGATACAGATCATATTATCATAGATTACTTCACATGCACGCATAGTTAAATTATATATAAAGAATATTCCAAATCGTTGTATTAGATTTTATAAAAGCAGGTCCACGTGGTGCAACTACTGGGTGCAAGCCACCTATTCCACAGTCCCATCACGGCGCGTCACGCATGCACGTTTCCTTGTGGGTCCTGACCTTCTGGCCTCTCCTCCGCTTCACACATTCTCCTTTTCTCCCCCATTATTCTCTTTCAGTAGTTGAGTTAGAATATATTTGTAACAATAAATTTTTGAACAGTCGTAACTTTTAAATTATATATTTAATTTTTTATCTCTTAGCACCATCGTATTATTTATGATTAAAATTACAACTTAAGCCTCATGTTAACCATTTTTTTTTGAAACGAACCATATAAAATAGTGTGAGATTTTATATTAATATTGTAGAGTGTGAGGTTTCATATTGATATAACATAAAGAAATAGTTACAAGACCATAGCCCTAAGATGCTATAATGAGAAAAAAATAACAAGTCACACCACGCGTTTGCAACCAAAAGAACACGATATGGAAGAAACCAGAGTGCAACGTCCTGGTTGCACTCAACTCCATCCACGTCTTTGGATTGGAGAAGCAAAGGGCGAGAGAAAAGATAGATCCATTATCCCATGCACACAACCCCCGCTAACATGCTCATCTTATGACGGACGGAAGCGCCACCACAACAGGACAGATGGAATGGAAATGGACGTTCAAAGTGATGCATGATCGAGTATGCTCTATTTCCTAACAAAGGTTCCTATCTGTTGACGCAAAAAATGTTGCAGACATCAAGGCCTGAGATATTTGGTTTCTCTAGTGCAGGTACTATCAAATTGGGTTCAGAGCGTGTCAGTTAGTTTGATCCTACAACTACCAAGGTTATAAAGGAAATATTAGTCCTTGGGCCAATTGGCTTTGAAGCCGATACGAAATCGTATACTGAGAGAATGCCGATAGTGATTGCTGGTCTATCGGCAACAACCAATGGAAATAAATAGCATCGGCCGTAATATGGATGATGATGATGATGATGATGATGATGATGATGATGATGATGATGATGATGAGATACATACATACATACATATAGATATATATGCACGCTAAACCTAAATCTTGTTATAATCAATCTTTGTAGAGCAGACCCAACTGAGACAATATGAGATTCAACAACAATAAAACCTAGATTTAACAAGTATATATGATTTCCAGATGTAGGCTAATGTATTTAGATATTAATTAGAACTTATCATTGTTCATTATTAGTGAATAAACTAAAATCAATTCTAGTAAACCAGAATATAATCGGTAATAATTTGTAGCTATTACCCACAATCTTGATAGATTGGGCCTAACCGAGACAGTGTAACATTGAAGATAATAAAAACAGCAACTAGCCGATTATACTAAATTTTGTAAACCAATCAATAAAATATTTCATATTATGATAAGTAGATACCATTACCTCATGGACTGAAACTCTGATGAAACTATGATAATAACTTATTGGCTTGAATAAATCTAATTAACACACGATAACCTACAAGATCGGACCTAACCGAGACAATTCAAGGTTAATAATATGTCTAATAGATTTAAACTAGCCGATAGATACTATTCAGAGTGATTGATATAGAAACCCTATCTAGAAAGCAAAAGCAATCGAAGCAAGAGCCGATATATCTGATAAGCAACACAAGCAGAAGAAGCTCTATGGTGTCAAAAGCTTTCTCAAAATCAAGCTTAAGAAGAATTATCTCTCTCTTGGACTGCTCGCACTGATGAATGTATTCAAAAGACCAAGCTAAACAATCTTGAATTGTCCTGCCTTTAATAAACCCATATTGGTTTGTATGAACAAGCTTGAGGATCACTCCTTGCATCGTATCTGCCATCAGCTTTGTTAAGATTTTCAAACTTATAATCATCAAAGATATGGGCCCTATAATCATTTACTTTTTGAGGAGAAAGCTTTTTAGGAACAATAGTAATGTAGGATGTGTTGATGCATTGCAGATCAGTGCATTCTGCATGAAAGTGGGCAGCAAGCCTTTAAAAGTCATGTGTAATTATAGGCCAACATTTCTTAACAAATAGGCCATTAAAACCATCTGATCTAGGAGCTTTATCAATTGGGAGCATAGAGATGAGATTATCAATTTACTGAGTGAAGAATGGATCAATCAAACTCTCCAAATTTTTAGGGGTAAATAGAGACTTAGATTTAGGGTCTCTTTGGCAGAGCTTTAGTTTCAACTTCATTTCTCCTAGAGCTAATTAAGTCTAGCTAAACAAATTTAGTTTCACCTAAATTGAAAATGAAGGGGGAATTGGATTTAGCCTGTCCCAGAACAGACCCTTGTGTAGGGGATTAACGTAGGGGATCCGGATCGCAAAGAGGCTAGTCAGTCATTCAGTCCCGATCACGGCGCCATGTCTGTCGCTCAGTCCAAGGAGCGTGGTAACCCCGCGGCCCGCGGCGTCGAGGAGGACATCCTCGTCCCACTCCTCGCCCGACTAGCAACCATCAGGACCGTCCTCGACAACGCGCCGGCTCCAAGTCGCCGTCGTCTACCAGTGCATGTGCGCGACGCCGAAGAGGATGCTAGGGTCGAGGCCCGCGCGCTGCTGGAGAAGGTCCAAGGAGAGATGTCCTACCTCCAGCGCGTCTTCCGCCGCATTGACGAAGCCGAAAATAGCATCCTCTACGGCTTCGACCCTGTCGAGGAGCAGATCGACGACGCGCTCCAGCAAGCGCAGGTTGGGCTTGACGTGGAGCAGGTACACGAGGCTCTCCTCGCCGTGGACGCCGACATCGAGGTCATCAAGGCCAGCATCCGCGAGGTCTACAGGTTCCCCTGCGACGGCGACGAACGCCGTGGTCCCCCACCGCCGTCGACCGCGCCGGCCACGGGCGTGGTGATGACGAGGAGGATGGGGGAGATCCGTCGCGGCCCGCAGATGCGGCACCTCGGCCTCGCCATCGGCGGCTTCGAGGCGCGGCTCCGCGGCTGCGTGCTCACCCTCGCCGCGTTCCCGGAGTGCGCCGTGATCAAGAAGCGCCTCCTCATCCACTGGTGGCTCGGCGAGGGCTTCGTCCGCTCCGCCGCCGAGGGGAAGAGCCGCTTCGACGAGCTCATCGCCAAGGGCCTCATCGTCCCGATCCCGGGCCATCTCTGCGCCACCGTCCACCGCTGCACGGTGCGGCCATGGATGCGCGACCTCCTCACCGGCGTGGCCAAACGCACCGCCTTCCTCGACCTCGACTCCGGCAACGACTTCACCCTCGCGCGCCGCGCGTGCCTGAACGCCGGCAGGATGTCCTCGGGGTTCAGCGCCGAGGCGAGAGCCATCTACAACATCGACCAGAAATACCTCGAGCTCGACGACGCCTGGTTCGCCGGGAAGAAGGAGCTGCGCGCGCTGCAGCTCGGCCAGTGGCGAGAGTTCGGCCCCCTCGAGCAGATTGCCAACCCCATGGACAGCCACATCGAGCTCAGCGGCGTCGAACACCTCGCGGACATGGAGAGCTGCAAGAATCTCAGGTACATCAGCTTCAGGGGAATCTCAAGAATCGAGTCCCTGCCCGATTCGATCGGCAGGCTGCGTGAGCTCACCGTGCTGGATCTCCGGGCATGCCATAATCTGGAGGAATTGGGGCAAGGGATCACAAGGCTGGATCGATTGGGGTATCTCGACTTGTCTGAGTGCCACCTGCTCGTCGGAATGCCTAAAGGGATTGGCCGGCTCACACGGCTCGAGGTCCTCAAGGGATTTGTGGTTGCAAATCCAAGCAGAAGAGAGCCCTGCCATCTCAATGAGCTCACCAAGCTGAACAAGCTCAGGAAGCTTGGCATTGTGATTGGCACAATGGCTGTTCCGACAGATGATGAGTTCATGAAATTGGGCGAGTTCAGGGCGCTCGAATCGCTCAAGATCAGATGGGGTGTGCTGGCTTCTGATAGCAAAGGGAAAATTGAAGCATCGTCGCATCAAAAACCGATCGACAAAATGAAGTTTGCGCTTCCTCCAAATCTGAAGAAGCTAGATCTCCGATGCTTCCCGCTGACGGATTTCGCTCAGTGGGTTACACCGAAGGGTGTTAAGAAGCTGTACATTAGGGGAGGAAAACTGATGACACTTGGAGATGAACAGGGCTGGGAGGCAGAGGTGCTTCGGCTGAGATTTCTGAATGATCTCGAGTATGATCACGATCGGCTTAAACGATCATTCAGGAAGCTCAAACCTGAAAATACAGAGATCCATGCATGTCCAAAGTTCATCCGTGGACAATGATCCAGATATCCAGTGTACTGGTCGCCTCAGCTTGCAACAACCTGTACTGGTTGCTTTTTCTGAAGGATATATGGGCTGGTTTTACTGCTTTCTATTGAGTCTTTGAAAAAGAAAAGAAAGAGTTACCATTCTATTCTCCTTCACAAGCAACTTAGCTGGTTCTTGCCATTGTACTGCCTTCCTGAAAGATGTTGTGATTGGTTGTTTCCAGATAAGAACAATATCGGTCATATACTTTCTTATAGCCCTGCTACATTTTCAGGCTATAATGTTCAGGAACCCTTTTTACCCTTTTTTCTCCATGTCTGAAGAAATTCGCTGAATCCTATGGTCTGGCCTGTTGTAGAAGGGCTGAGACAAGAGTCAAGACAAGACAAAAATGTGGTACCAAAATACAAGTTGCTGCTCCCGTTTGTGGAGTCCGTCAGGTACATCCTTTTGCATTTTACATAAGTGAACAACCTTTTTGTGTTCAGCTTAACAATGCTGCTGATTCCTCATGATATTACAATGCTGTGATAAATCGGGTGAGTAATTCAATATAGAAGAAATTCTCATTTTACAATACAGAGAACATGACAGATTAGGATCGAACTAGAACTCGATTACAATATAGAACATAACAGCTAACATATAACAGGTACAAGGGACCCTAAAATTACACTGAAATTATTCACAAAGGAAACATGCTCACTACAATTCTTCGTGCACGAAGAGTTACATTTCCTCAAGATGTTAGGGCCTGTTTGTTTGAGTTGTAAAATTGATTGGGTCGAAGAAAATAGATGAATATTAATGCATGTTTATAGCCCATAGTACCACACCAACTGAGCCAAATAGCAATCGGGCTCTACTTGCATTATATAAGAAAGATTTATCCTATCCTTGCCGGAATTGTAGTTAGTGTACGAAGAATTCAGCTAATTACCATCTGATGAATCTATGTGAATTAGCAAATCATGTTAGACTATATGGATAAGATCGTATTGTATCCGGTTTGTTATGGTAGGATAGGATTAGTTTCCATCTGTATCTGTTTGGTAGAACTCAGTAGATAAGTCAGCCACATATTTGAATTCAAAAAATGGAGTACGTGGAGTATCACAACTCTACCAATCTACTATACTTGAAGCCTAGTAGGACTCGGGTTGGAGAAACGGATCTTTGCATTGCAGGCTAGGAGCAGGAGGCATCGGAGGTGACTATCATGGCGAGCTCGCCGGACAAAGGGAAAGAGACAGCAGCCGCAGCCGTGGACGCGCCGTCATCGTCCTCGGGATCCTCGCCGGAGAAGAAGAAGAAGAACAGCAGCAACAACAACAACAGGGGAGAAGCGACGGCGGCGGCGGTGGCCGGAGACGAGGGGAGGAAGAAGATGGTGAGGATGTCGCCGCCGCAGATCAACCTGCTCATGTCGTTCGACCCGCCGCCGCTGGAGCACGTGAGGGGCCTCACCAAGGAGGAGGAGGGGATCGACGCGCTGGCGGCGGAGTGGGAGAGGGGGATCCGCGCGGTGACGGAGGCTGTGAGGACGCAGTACGAGCAGGGAGGGTACGTCGAGTACGAGGCCGGCGCCGACCTGCTTGCGTGTCCTGGCCGCAGTAAGAAGAAGCCACAGGGAGGAGGAGAAGGAGCAAATTCAACAGAGCTCAGTGTATTTTACTTTGGGTCATATTTTATTACCAATGTATAATTTTAGATTAGATCATCCTTCATCCAATGTTTTCACGTTGGATCGGTATTTTTATCTTTGTTGCTCGCGTGTCCTGGCCACAGCAAGAAGAAGCCACAGGGAGGAGAAGGAGCAAATTATAATTGTTTTTTTAAAGTACATTTCGCTTTGAGTCATATTTTATTACCAATGTTTTATTTTAGATTAGATCATCCTTTATCCAATGTTTTCATTTTGCATTGATATTTTTACCTTTGTGTCACTTCGGGAATCCTCCCTCGGTCGCTCGGGGGAGAGAGCAAAATCGGAATATAATGTTGCAGTGAGTTGAAACATTCTTTTGCAATAAATCACCTACATATTTTGGAAAACTCTCTACTAAGAAAATCCGTTTCATTTTTTTTCATAAAAAATGTTTCACTATGTATGGATCAAATGTTGCAGTGAACTGAAACATTCTTTCGCTATTTGCCGAAACATTATTTTTATATAAGTTGAAACAACACCCAATTTAAACGATTGGAACATTTTCTATCTACTCAGTGAAACAATTCCGATATACTTGGTGGAACATCGTGCAACATTTAAAAAAAAATTAATAATAAGCTAAAATTTTTTCGTTGGATTATATCCATGTGTGGTCTTGTTTTAAAGATTTAATTGCAACGAATTTAATGGTGCAATCGGATCATGATTTAGATAAATTACTTAAGAAAATAAATAGTTTAAAGTGGTTTTTTATGCATGTGTCATGCTGACGTCAGCGCCCGATTTTCCCCCCTCCCCATCGGGCGCCCGATTCTGAGTTGCGTCCATATCACTTTGGATCACCATTAACTTTTTTTATCCATCTACCTCTAACTTGTCATATACCAAAGAAATGATATTGCATATGACCGTGAGAGTTTATTGATAGGTGGGAACTGACATACTCTAGATCGTTCATACGCTTGATAAGAGAGTCGAGATGGTCCAAAGTGAAACAAAGCTAAGATTACTCGGTCCAAACTGAAAATATTGATTAATAAATAGTGATCTGAAGTGAAACATGGGTAATAAAACATAGTCCAAAGTGAAATTTACTCTTATTTTTTTATCGGTAGTTGGTTATTGTACATACTTGTTGATTTCTTTATGTTATGTTAGGACGAGAGGATCTGTGGGGAAATACTTGTATTTACTCAAACACCTAAATAGTTATGAAATTGTTTACAACATTTCGACGACATACATGTATTACTCCGCAATATCTTAAGCCTAAATTCAACTCATACATCAAGAAAGAGACAAATTTAAAGTATGAATATATATATTCATACCCAAATTTATTTCCCTAGATTATGTTTGAAGTAGGTATCATTCTACTCTGTATTATCAATTTTTTCTACTAAATTTTCACAACTATTCTTATGAATTAACAACTATTCTAATGAATTCGAATGAAAAAGGTAAAAGGAGACATCCCTTTCTTCGATCCCACAACTATTCTTATGAATTCGATTGAAAAAGGTAAAAGGGGACATCCCTTTCTTCGATCCCAGTTTTGTCATCGTGTTGGTTATTGCAGTTCAAGCAAAAGGTCAGCAAAATAAATTCGACTTTGGGAGGCTTTCATAGGTGAGATAATACCCCAAAGAGAAAAAAAATGTGGGGGCATTTTACAAAGCCAACCAAATATATATGGGACAAATGAGCAAAGTTAACAATGAGAAATTTCCCCTCATATTGCATGAAGAAATAATGAATAATGCTGGTTCGCTATGCTGTAGTACAAATATACAATGAAACTTAAACATTATTAATAATTAATAATTTCCACTCTAAAGCATTAAACATTTATTCGAGCGCCTACCACTATGAAACTTAGGGCCTGTTTGGGGGAGCTTAATATTCTGAGAAGCAGCTGTTGAGAAACTAGCTAGTGAAAATCTGGTGGGAATCTAGAGAAGCTGGGAAACCCAGCTTTTGGCTTCTAGTTCATTTTCTAGATTCTACAACTACAGATTCTCAGAATCTAGGTAAAAAGCTAGACAGTTTGAGGAAGCTTCTGGCAACTAGAGATTCTATGAAAGCTGTAGCTGCTAAAAGCTTCCCCAAATAGGCTCTTAGTAGAACCAACTAAGCTGGTTCATGGAATCAGTTCCAGTCTTACAGAACTTAAGTACACAGAAAGATATATAACTATGACAGCTAACTATTTTTTTAAAAAAAAAAGATAAACAATTGGGCTGCTGCAATCTCTGCATCAGCAAAGTGCTAAGCACATCGCTTCTTGGCTAATTCAGCTTGTTAACTTTTCCTGCCTTGATGGAAACGCCGGGCCGAAACCTTCTCCGACCAGGATTAGGAGCTCGAGCTTGTTCATCGCCTGCTGTATCGGTTAACGCTTCTTCCTCCTCTCCTTGTGAATTATCTGCAGGAGACGATGTTTCGGGAAAGTCTTTTCTGCATCAGCACCTAGGCTGAACACCACACGATGTGCTTTAAGATTCGCACGTACGCAGTACCCAGCTGCAGTATTCCATCTGCTATCCACTTTACCTCCATTTACGGCAGGTGCCATCGAAATACACAAGGTGGGTCCCACCGTATAAGTCTCCCTCTCTCTCTCACATGCTCCAACTGCTTGCTTTCGTATTAGCACACTGCCCGATCACACATCATCTCCACTCCTTTATACTGCACAGCTGCCCCTCTTCCAGTCTTCCATTTGTGTTGGGTAGTACTACTATTAAGGTGATGTTTGGATCCAGTAATTTAACTTTAGTCTATGTATTTAGACACTAATTTAGAGTATTAAATATATACTACTTACAAAACTAATTATATAAATGAAAGCTAATTCGCGAGACAAATTTTTTAAACCTAATTAATCCATAATTAGAGAATGTTTACTGTAACATTACATAGGTTAATCATGGATTAATTAAGCTTAATAGATTCGTCTCGCGAATTAGTCCAAGATTATAGATAGGTTTTATTAATAGTTTACGTTTAATATTTATAATTATTGTTCAAACATCCGATGTGAAAGGGATTTAAAAGTTTTAGTCCGATCTAAATAGAGTCTAAGAAACTTTCTTGTTCAATCATCTTTTAATCACATCTTTTATTCATCCAAAGAAATTTCGTTGGTGTGCGGCAACCGGATGATCTTCGCCAGGATCACTGGTGGGTGTAGTTAGTGGTCAAATATTTGGATGCTTGGTTTCAGGGGTTCACATTCTCTACCGTTCTCTCTCTCTGCCCTCTTCCAGAATGTTGCATATTGCCTCTTCCAAATCTTCTTCAGAGTTTTTAGTTTTGTTTTAGAAGATTTGTTTGAACTTCTTCTTATTCTTCCAATTTTAACCAAAATTTGTTCATGAAGACTTATATGTTGTTGACTTGTTGTTCAACTGTTGTGTTCCCTTCCTCTATTTCTCTCCCTTACCCCTCTCTCTCTTAATGTTCTTGTTAAAAGAATAGATTTCTAGTTGGCTTGTTCGTTTCTTTTTCTCTTGAAACAAGATCAGTGCACTTTTTCGAGAGAGAAAAAACCTCTATTTCTCTCCCTTACCCTCTCTCTCTTAATGTTTTTGTTAAATGAAAGAGATTCCCAGTTGGCTTGTTCATTTCTTTTTCTATTGAATCTTGAAACAAGATCAGTGCACTTTTTTGAGATGAAAAAAAAGAAGAAACAAGATCAGTGCAATCTTCTCCGCGAGTAGGATGGACAAATATTCCAAATCTAATTTCTCTAGAAAATGCATCTTCTTACCCAAATGTCATCTTGTGTTCCCCGATCTGTTCTCCATCTGTATCTAGACCCTCCTACTTCTCTCACCTCTTGCATGCATCTACTTCACTCATCTCTCTTTCACGGAAGCAGGCTGAGGGCTTGAATTTGTAATGTAGATTGAGGGACGAGGAAGAAATATCTTAATTGTCTTCAGTCCATAATCTCCCTACTCTTTTCTCTTTCCCCCCAAATTTACCTAAATTTGATACCCCACAATGGTTCAATGATCCAAGCAGTCTGGTAAATCCCTCATGGTTCTTTTTTTTCGACGTGAATCCATGGTTCCTTTTCCATCTTGCAATTGAATTTGTCCCCCTTTTTGATAAATAAAAAAAATCATTTGCTGCAATGAAAATTCACCTCTTTTATTGCCAATAGCAACTTTATGCAGTTGTAATGGAAATATACTCTCATCATTCATACTTGGTTGAAGTCTCTCTCTATCTCTCTCTCAAATTCATTTTCGTCTCTCCTCCTGAGGTGTTGTAGACGGAGATGGATGTCAAGTTTTCTTTTTTTTTTTCCTTAGTCAATGTGAGTCCTCTAAATTTCGTTTGTCCAAGAAGTTTGGGAGATAGAGACGGTACGAATTCATGGAAAAAAATGCTGAGATGACGAGCATGATTTTATATTTGTTTTTGATCTTTGAGCTCTGGTAATGTGATTTGTTCATTCCTTGTTCCACCACACTTCGGTGCTTTGTTCATATGGATTCATTGATACCATTCGAATCTAGGCTGTATTTAGTTCACGCCGAAGTTAAAGTTTGGTTAAAAATTGAAACGATGTGATTGAAAGTTTGTGTGTATAACAGGTTGATGTGATGGAAAAAGTTGGAAGTTTGGAAAAAAACTTTGGAACTAAACACACCCCTAATCAATTTTGGTGAACTTTTTTTCTCATACCATCAGATATTCTGCACTTCGGATGCACATGTACTCTCCCCGTCCAAAAAGAAAGGCAAACCCTCGGTTTCCGTGTCTAACTTTGACAGTTCATCTTATATGAAATTTTTTTATAATTTGTATTTTCATTGTTGTTAGATGATAAAACATGATTAATATTTTATGCGTGACTTGTCTTTTTAATTTTTTTCATAATTTTTTTAAATAAGACGGACGGTGAATCGTTGGGCACGGAAACCAGGGTTTGTCTTTTTTTTGGGACGGAGGGAGTATGTTTTAAAGTACTAACTAAAATAGCTGTGAGGTTGAATTATCACCCAAATTTTATGTAAAACTCCTATAAGTTTGTTTGCCACAATTCAGTGGGTCATCAATTGTCTTTTTTTGTCTTATTGGTTTTCTCTTCTACTACAAGAGCAGAGCAGAGGAGTAGTATGTACTCCTACAAGAGCAGAGCAGAAGTGTTCTGGTTTTTCTTTGGCTCGAATTAAACGACAGGAGAGAGGACGTGCTGTCGCCTCGCTGTGTACTCCGTATGAGTGTGTGTGTGAGAGAGAGAGAGAGGGAGAGAGGGAGAGGTGTTCTTTTTAGCTGAAAAATTGGAGTCATCCTGACTGCAAAAAGTCCATCTCTGAAATAATTAGTAAGATTTAAGAACTGCAGACCTCACGGAATTAATCATTATGGGTGTGTTTAGTTGCTGAAAAAAAGTTTAAAGTTTAAAGAAAGTTGGGAGTTTGAAAAAAAAGTTATAAACTTATATGGGTAAGAAAGTTTTTGATGTGATATGATGTGATGGAAAGTTGGAAATTAGAGGGAAACTAAACACGGCCTATATTAGCCTTTCGCCCCATGAAAGCAAACCTGCATGAATCCATCTTGCCAATCTTGGGTGGGTTTAGTTTACGTCAAAATTGAAAGTTTGATTGAAATTGAAATGATGTGACGGAAAAGTTGAAAGTTTGTGTTTGTAAAAAAATTTTAATGTGATGAAAAAGTTAAAAATTTGAAGAAAGAGCTGGGAACCAAACCAGACCCTTCCATCAATCCTGTACTCCTGTCTTTTATCAGCGCTACTACCATTTTGGTGATATTTTACCTGCATGGAACCATGGACTTCTACAAATTAAAGGATACAAATAAATAATCATCCTTAAACTATTCAAATAACCTCTTCAATAGCCTTGTACTACCTCCATCACAAAAGATATCTATGACGGGATTTAACCTATCTAAGATAATAAATTTTAGGATGAATCAAATCTCACGAGGAAACAACAAAGCCTGTGTTTAGTTTCACGTCAAAATTGAAAGTTTGAAGAAATTGAAACAATGTGACAGAAAAGTTGGAAATTTACGTGTAGAAAAGTTCGATGTAACGAAAAAATTAAAAATTAAAAAAAATAGGGCCTAGTACTAGTAAAAAGTCTCGTAGAAAGTCTTTCTGCTCTCCCTCTCTCCACTGGTCTGGTGTAGCAGATGTCAGTGCAGTGGGCTCCATTGCTACAGCAATACAGCATGCAAAGCAATGCATTGCCTGACCAGCAGATGTGGTGGGCCCGGCACCTAGCTGTGTACATGTACATTGCAGGTTAGATACTACGAGCTGTACAAAAGGGTACGCGTATTGCGTGGAAAGTCAGGAAATACAGCACGAATCACTGCACAGATCGACGTCTCTTAGCTTAGGTGCTGCTGCACCTAGGTGCAGAAAAACCGCGTCCACGATGTTTCTTCTTTTTTTTCTTCTTCTTGCTCATCATCATCGTCATCGGTGGCCTTTCGCATCGCGTAACCTTTGCGGTAGTACTGATTCAGGATCCCGTCTCTATGCTTCATGAACTGATCGTCAATCTGGTTTATCTCCCTAAAAATCTTGGCGACGTAATCGTCGATCTGGTCCATGGGTACAGGGAGGTCGCCTTTGTGATCAGACAAGTCCGTGCATGCTAACCTCTCCTTGCTTACTATTGGGAATATTTCATCTGGCATCCTGATTGTCTGATAATTGATGTAGCTGTCGATCTCCTCCTGTGTCATCCTCACCTTCCTCCCTGCAGTCGTCTTCTTCTTCTTCTTGCCTCCAGCCATTGCCGGCGACGGCGGTTTCTCCTTCTCTTGGTTGGGTTGGTCCGGTGAGCTTGCCATGATCAAACTGTCGCAGAATATGCAAGTCGATCTCTCCGGGATCAGGATGTCACGATGGCACCCTGCAATATTAATTAATTGTTGTGGGATCGATTGGATTTGTGAGAAACCTAGATATATTCATGCTGCTTTTATTTGTAGCTCCAGCGCGCTAGCTAGGTTGGAATTGGAGTCAAGCCTGCCGACTTGATCCGATTCCTAGCTGGAGTTCAGTGTACTCAATTCTTGGATAGAAATCTGTAATTTAATCGAGTTCACCCCCAATCTATTTTATCTACGCATCAACGAAGAATAACCTGCACGAAAGGGCTGATCAGCGATCAGCCGCGCGCGCCCTCCCCCGCGCGACTGGACACGCGTCGTGTGCGGAGAGGGGGGCGCGGGCAGCACGCGGTTTCTCCTTTTTTTTTTTTGATTTTTTAGTGTTTTCTTCTTTTCTGTTTTTTTTTCTTTTCGTATCTCTTTAGTCCGGTTTTCTTTTCTTTTTTTCGCATGTTTTTTCTGTTTTTTTCCTTTCTGTATCTTTTTCAGTTTTTTCGGTTTTTTAATATGCACGTATACAAATTTTATATGCATATATATAAACTTTACATACGCGTATACAAAGTTTATATATGTGTACGTACGGGATGCAAAGTTTGTATACGCGTATATAAAATTTGTATTTGTACGTACGTATAAAAACCTAAAAAAAAACACGTATATGAACTTTATATATGTGTATATAAACTTTGTATACGTGTATATAAAATTGGTATACATACGTATAAAAACCCAAAAATACACATATACAAACTTTATATATGTGTATACAAACTTTATATATGTGTATACAAACTTTGTATACATGTATACAAAATTGGTATACGTACATATAAAAACCTAAAAATACACGTATATAAAGTTTGTATTTGTACGTATATAAAGTTTGTATACATATGTATTAAAAACAGAAAAAGATACGAAAAGAAAAAAACAAAACGAAAGGTACGGTAGAAAAACAGAAAAAACAAAAAAAAAAAGGAAAAAGCGGGGCGCTCACAGGAAAGAAAAGAGAAACCGAAAAAAAAGGGAAAACGCGAGAGCGATGCGCCGTCCGCCGCCCTATATACATGCAGTAGTTAGAGAGGAGAGACTAGAAGGGGTTAGAATTGATCGCGCACCGGTAAAGAGACACGATATATTGATCGTCCATTAGGGCTCCCCTAACCTGCAAGGCCCAGCCGTTCGTGCACAAACCTATATGTATCGTAAACAGCAGTAGCTATAGCAAGTTCGGTTCTACCCTTTCCTAACTTCTATTCATTTTTCGTGTGTATGGTTTCCAAACTGCTAAACGATATTTTTTTTCTTAAAAAAAATAATAGAAAATTTTGTTTAAAAATTATATTTTTAATTTTTTAAGCTAATACTTAATTGATTATACAATTAATTATGAGTTAATGAGTAGCTCTGTTTCGCATACTCGGAGGAAGAGTTTCTAACCATTACCTATGTACCTTCGAACACACCTGACGGAGCTCGTGGCTCCTCACCGGGAGACCGCGCAGGCCCCCCTTTGCCAGTTCGGCCGGGGGCTTAGGGTGAAATCTCAAGCTCTCACTCTCTCTGTATGTGGAAATATCGTATGCCAGCCAGAAAACACGAGACACCGACGATCTATACAGGTTCGGGCCGCTGAGAAGCGTAATACCCTACTCCTGTGTTTTGGTGGATCTGCGTATGAATGAGCTACAAGTGTGAGCTGACTTCACCCCCGTTCTAAGCTCATAATCTGGGAAAGAATCAACCCCCTCTCTATGGGCAAGGTCCTCCTTTTATACTTCAAGGGGATACCACATGCACCCTTCTCTTTCCAAACTGGACTGTTCTTTTTCTCTTGAATGGGCGGAGATCAGCACGGTTGCTGTCCGAATGACGCTCCGATGGGACAGCCCACACCTACCTCCACTTCCGCCGGGGGTGAGCGCGTCGTGGGAACATGGCTGTGCGCTGACGATATGGTAAGTGTCAGACCGGTCACAAATCGGTCATTCTTGTCCACCGCGTGTAATCTTGGCAACGTGCATGTTTGCCCTTCTTCACACAACATCTTGCCTGTAATGGTTAAGATGAAGCCTGGCATATATCGACCGGGTCTAACGTGTCATCTCTAAGAGATAACACGCTTAACGCCGGCTTGAGACGAGTGACTAGAGGCTTTCGTCTTGACGGGATGGGGCATGGCGTGCGTCAGACCGCCAGTCGCCACCTAACCCGTGATCTGACCGGTCTGTGACTGGTCACAGACCGGATAAAGGGACGCGCCGTGCCGCACTGCATGCAGCGTGACACGCTTGACCAGACTGCAATAAATGCTGTTAGGTGAGCACAGCTGTGCTCACTTATCCCATATACGTGGCGCAGACTTCCTAAAGGGGGTCGGGGTGCCCCGGCCCTCGGGGCCAGGGCAAGCGCAACCCGACCCCCCCCCCCCCTCGGGGGAAATCAGGAGGAGGGCGGACACCTCACCCTCGGGCCCGACGTCCCCGAAGGTGCCAGGCCACGTGGGCGATTGTGTCTGCCTCAAGCCTCTAGTCATGATACTCCCGGTCCCATATCACCGACAGTAGCCCCCGGCGTTATGCCAGAGCAATTTCCCTTCCCAAGGGAAGCGGTCAGGTGTGACGCCACTCCTAAAGCCTGGTGACAGGTGGGACCGGTCTGCATAGTTGGGCAAAATCCCCAACGGTCCCAGTCCATGCACATTGGTATTGGTAACTTTGGTTGTCCATAATGGGCGGTCTATTCAAGACTGCCACATCACTTGAGCAGCGCGCGAATCTGGGTGAGCAGATTTGTCTCGCCCGGAGATACGGTAACGCCGCTTCGGTTGGCGAGCGTAATTAACGCGCGCACGATACAATCCGTTTCGATTGCCACAACCGCATATCCACTTCAAGCGCCGTAAGTGGGCGAATGGGATTAGTGGAAGCGTGGGCACGGGAAACGAGGGAGCAAGATAGCGAGATACGAGGGAGCGAGGTAGTGGGCGCGAGAAACGAGGAGCCAGGCCCAGCGATGGCAAGGGTATAAAAGCATCGAGAAAAGGATTTGCTCCCTTCCTTTCGCCATTGTTCCTCTTGCCTTCGCTGCCTGAGCTCTAACTCTTTCTCTACCACGCCCTACTTTCGCCACACGCGCTCGTTCCCAATCATCTCTTCCTCCACCGCCATGGCACGGGGCTCTGCTCTGCTCGACGGCAGTGTACTGCCGCCTTCCCGCATCGTGAATGAGAGGCACGCCGGACTGCCGCGCCGCTTCATGCCGGAGTCCGCCACCGGTCGGGAGATTGTGATGCTGGGCGAGGGGCGCCCGGCACCAGACTACCCGGGGCGGTCCATCTTCTTCCTCCCCTTCGCAATGGCTGGGCTGGTCCCGCCATTTTCTCATTTCTTCATGGATGTCCTGGAGTTCTACGATCTCCAGATGGCGCACCTCACCCCCAATGCGGTGATGACATTGGCCATCTTCGCACACCTGTGCGAGATGTTCATTGGGGTGCGCCCCTCTCTTCAGCTGTTCCGGTGGTTCTTCACCGTGCAGTCGGTGTCACCGCCATCGGTGGTTGGCGGCTGCTACTTCCAGCCACGGGGGCCGGTGTTGAACCGCTACATCCCCTGCGTCCTCCGCAAGAAGTGGGACGACTGGAAGAGCGACTGGTTCTACACCCCCCTCGCCGACGAAGCGCGCCTCCGACTTCCGAGCCAGCCCCCGGCGCAGGTCTCCAGCTGGCGGGCGCCGGTAGATCTGGGGGAGGAGTACGACGCCGTCCTCGACCGCCTGGCGGGCCTGCGATCCCAGGGGCTCACCGGGGCCATGGTGTACGGCGATTACCTCCGTCGGCGGATTGCGCCGCTCCAACGGCGCGCCCGGAGCGCCTGGGAGTACACTGGGCCTGAAGACTACATGCGGACCCACCAGGGAGCCAGATGTGATTGGGCTCCTGAGGACTTCAAGATCGTAGTCCAAAGGGTGCTGAATCTTAGCTCCGCGGAGGCGTCTCGCCTTCCTCAGGAGATCCTCCCCCTCTGCATCGATCCCGACCGCGTCTCCATTCTAACCATTATGCTGGGGGTCGGGGCCTCAGAGGAGAGAGCCCCTAAGGGCCACGACGGCGCGGGCGAGAGCCGCCCGGGGAAAAAATCTGCCCCAGGAGGGGGTCGTGCTTCTGGGCCCCGCGTCGGGGGCTCGGGGAGCAGCCGCCCTGCCGACGCCCCGGGGAAGAGGAAGCTGGGAGGAATACCTCCCCCATCTCCTCCCCGAGGGGGCGGGGCAGTGCGTACCAGCGGTCGGCGCCCGGAGGGGGCTGCGCCGACGTCACAGCCCGAGGGGGAGCGCAAGAAGAAGCGGCTCCGCAAGATGGGGGAGACGGAACCAGCCCGGGGAAACCTAATTTCCCCTCCAAGGTGGTCATTCAACCGACCCCCTCGCAGGTTCGTCTCATTCTCATTGCGACCACCTTTCTCCCAAAGAGAAGTTTTTTCTTACTCATTTTGTTCGTCTTTTGGTTTTTTCTTCTGCTTCAGCGATGTCCCGTCGCATTCCTCCCGCCGCCCCAAGTCCGGCCAGTCCGAGGTCGAAGATCCAGCGGCCGCAGAGGAGCGGAGGCGGGAGTCTGACCGGCGTGAAGCCGCAGCCCGCCTTCGGGAAGCTGAAGAGGCCGCCCGGGAGGCCGCCCGGGTTCGCCAAGCGGAGGAGGCTGCTCGGGAGGAGGCCGCCCGGGCTCGCCAAGCCGAAGAAGCTGCCCAGGAGGAGGCCGCCCGGGCTCGCCAGGCTGAAGCGGCAGCTGCTGCTGGCGCGTCACTCGGGCCCACTCCCTCGGGCGGCCCTCAGGCGACATCCTCCGAGGCGGCTCGCGACGAGGCCGCGGGCGCGTCGCCTGGGCCTACCTCACCGGGCGACGCCCAGGACCAAACGGGCCCGGGGGACATCCCCGAGCCCAGCGCATCCTCCGGGGGGCCAAGCCGCGTCGCCTTTTCTCCAAGGCGGCTTTTCTCCTCTTCTCTCGTCGCCCCAGTGAGCGCCGAGCCCATTATGCAGGCCTTGGCCGCCGCAAACACCGCGGTGCTAGATGGATTTAGCGCCCAGGTGGAGGCCTTGCGAGCGGAACGAGCGGAGCTCGAGGCCGCATGGGCGCGTGTCGAGGAGGGGCGGCGCTCGGTGGACGCCATGGTGGAGGTGGGCCGTAAGGCCCACCGCCGCCACATCTCGGAGC